CCAGTGAGCGCCGCTGTGGCTCGCCTCCCGAGGCCACGGCCGCGGCTTTCCGGAACTGGCCAATCGGAAGAAAGGGGTGGAGCTATGCCGACACGCCATTGGCCCTCCCAGGCGCCTGTTACACCACCTGAAGGTGGAGCCGCCCGCGGTAGACACCACGCAGGTCCGGGGGCTCTGCTCTGCGGCTCCGTGCAGGATGATGGGTCCGGTTGGGCCGCACTTTCCAGTGTTCCAGGCATTTGGACGCCTGTTGTCCGGGTGTCCATCACTCCTTCCTCCCATCGCTGCCGGGCACGTGGGGCTTATGCGTCGTATCGCTCAGCTCAACTCCGGGCAGGGACCAAGGTGTCACTAATTCGGCATTTGGGCAAGTGTAATGGGTGCCAGGAAGTGCTGGTCCTCACACGATCCCGTGTGCGAGCTGTAGCCCTTTTTGCAGGTGCACAGAGAGCCTGCGGGGAATGTGCTTGCTGGGGGTGTGATGGGCCGGGTCATTGAATCAGAGGCCAAGTGAGAGCGAACCACCGGTCCAGGGCATCATGAGTACCACGTCCCGCCTGCCTTCTCACCGGTCTCCCGGCGCCAGGCGTCTGGACCTCAGCACGGGACCTTGCTGCCTCCAACAATATGCTTGGGAAGGAGGCGTGGCTCCACCAGTACTTTTTAAGATTTTTTCTTCTTCATATCACCTAACAGTTGCTTGCACATGAGTGCTCAACGGATGTTTAATTACAAAAGTCACACCGTTAGTTCAGGGCTAGTTAGTGGCCCAGTTGTGACTGAATCAAGTAACCGTGAAATTGGTGCTAGTCCCATCACACCAATTGCATAGGTTACTTTGTCATATAGGTTTTAACAGATACATGTTAGCAAATGTCACCACCATAGTTTTGTCCTATTGGAAGTTGGGGGTTAAACACAGTCACAATATTTTTGAATGTGATAATGGAATGTTACTCTGAAATTTTACAAGGGTACCATAATCTACATTACCTTGTGAATATTTTGCCTTAGATTTTCTTCACTAGAGATTCTTTATATAAACTTGTTCTTTTCCTTGTGTTGCTTCCATATTTGCCTGTTTTGTACCAGCCAGGCCTCACACTTCTTTTCTTTTTACAACCCCTCCCCCCATTTCCTGATTTGGGGATCATGGACTGTGGTTGACTCACTGTAGGGACATCCAGGTGGGGCCAAGGTTAGAACAGAACTTCCTCCTGCGGGGAAGAGAGGTCCCTGTCTTTTGGGTCCCTTTCTTCATTTCTGCTTGCTTTTTACTGGCTGCAGAAATAGAGCTGTGAGCAAACCCAGAAATTATTTTTAAAGATACATACATGCAAGGTGCCTGACTGCCCTGAGTGCTTCCCTGAGTGGGGCAAGGAGTGAACATGAAGATGGTGAACAGGTGAGAACAGGTAAGCCAGGCAAACCAGCAAGAGGAAGCAGATTCCTCACTGCCAGGTGAGCGCCCTGCACTGATTCCTGGTCGTAATCCCAGCTCTGCCACGACAGTCTCCGGGGAACCAGGCTGGCAGGAACCTAGAGCTCTCCCAAACAAGTCCCCAACTCTGTGTGTCAGGAAGCGTGTTAAATGCGAACTCAGGTCTGGGACAGGCCAGGAGACGCACGTGTTAGTAGGACCCTAGGTGATTCTGATTTGGGTGGTTCTTGAACCACCTTTTTAAACAATTCTCAAAGGGTGGTCTGGGACCCTTGGAGGTGTCTGAGACCCTCTGAGGGGGAAGAGGGGACAAGTTATTTCTAGTTTTCATTCATATTTGCCTTTTCCATTCCCATTCCCTCACAAGTGTGCAGTGTTTCCCAGAGGCTCCATGACGCGATACGTGAGACCCCAGCCTACTTAAGCTGCATTAAGCCAACATTCATTAGATTTGCAAAATTGTCAAAAGTACCACAGATCTTACTGAATTTCCTTTTGTTTTGGAAAAATGTTATTCAAAAGTTTCTCAGTTTTAATTTTTTCAATGCTAAATATTGATAGGTATAACTTACATAAGCAAAAGCTCTTTGGATCTGCAACCATTTTTAAGAGTGTACAGGGCCCCGAGACCCACCGGTTGAGAACCACTGATCCAGTCCAGCTCTCAGATTTCAGGGCTGAGGAGATGGGCTCTGAGGGCCCAGGCTTGCTGAGTCACAGAGTGAGACACCGGAACCGCTCCTCAGGGACGGATTAGATGCAGTCCAAAGTCCCTCTCAATGAAAAGCGGGCTTCAGACAGCCTCGGTGCTAGGACAGCTCGTTATCGAAGCCGGATCAGGTGGCTTCACAAATGATCTGGAACGTCTTCCCTGGAAGCTGCCTGGTGGAGAGGGAAGGGAATGGGTTTTGCTGCTGCGCTGACTCTGGCTTCAGTTTCATTGCTTTCTAGCTGTGCAATTTGGGGCAAGTTATCGAATCTCAGAGTTTCCTCATGTGTAAAACAGAAAAGACAAACCTCACAGGGGAGCTCTGGGGTTCAATGAAACAAATGGAAACTTGTTTAGTACCCATATACTAATTTCTATCTTTAAAAATGTATCTTTTTAAATTTATTTCAGAGATAGAGAGAGGGAGAGAGAGAAACATCAATGATGAGAATCATTGATCTGCTGCCTCCTGCTCGGCCCCCACTGGGGATGGAGCCTGCAATCCGGGCATGTGCCCTGACTGGGAATCGAACCCTGACCTCCTGGTTCATCGGTCAACATACAACCGCTGAGCCACACTGGCAGGGCTAGTTTCTATCTTTTTCATGGAAAGGACTCAGAAAGGAGAGACATAACTGGAGTGGAACTTACGATTGAACCCAACAATGGCTCCTAGGCTTCCTTGTGAAACCTGGAGAGGTGGACGAGGACCTCTGCAGCTTCCTGCAAAGCCTGAGTGGTTACCCTTGACCAGAATTGAACCCAGGACCCTGCAGGCCGATGCTCTATCCACTGAGCCACACCAGTTAGGGGTATGCTTCCTCTCTTTTGCAGCGAGCCTTCCCTATCCCCTTCCTACTGCCGTAGCCAGCACTCCCCTCCATGGCACGGTCCTTTTGTCTGCAATGAGGCCTTCATCAGTGCACCTGGGAGTGAGTGGTCAGGGTCTGGGACTTCTCGGAAGGCACTGACCAGGGGGCACACTGACACAGATTCTGAGCTGGGGGCTGCCTCCTCTAGCATTGATTCCTCTTCCACAAGCCGATTGGGCAGAGCCCAGTAGCAAGTGAGAGGCCTGGAAGCAGACAATGCAGGAGAAGCTTCTGGAAGGACAAGTGGATGAAACTGCCACACCCCCGCCATTCTCTAGGGCAGTGGTTCTCAACCTGTGGGTCGCGACCCCTTTGGGGGTCGAACGACCCTTTCACAGGGGTCGCCTAAGACCACCAGAAAACACATATATAATTACATATTGTTTTTGTGATTAATCGCTGTTTTCATTATGTCCAATTTGTAACAATGAAATTGGGGTCACCACAGCATGAGGAACTGTATTAAAGGGTCACGGCATTAGGAAGGTTGAGAACCACTGCTCTAGGGGCTAAGCCTGCAGGCTCCATGAGTGCAGCGATTCCACCTCCGGTCCGTCCTGCCTCCTTCCTCCCATCAAAAAGAGCTAATGCTTGTAAATTTCAGATTGCTGTATCATTCTGAGGTGTCATTATTAACATGACCTAAGGTGACAAGGAAACGCAGCTCGGGCAAGCTGACACTCCCAGCAGTGAGCGGCAGCACTGAACTTTAACCCAGGCCTACGAGGGCCAGCCTAGCGCTCCCCTAATCGCATCAGCAGGCCCGGTCACGCACAGCGCACATTACTGATGTGTAGTTGGCTTTACATGGAAAGCTAAACTGAAATTAACGCTCAATGACCAGCTTTGGAGGAGCAGCCCTTGTGAAAATCTGACAGGTATAACTTTACACAATAGCTCTCTTCCAGCAGCAGGGCCTCCCACACCTTTCAACTTTATTGCGAGGACTTCCTCTCTCTGTGGGTTGGGTTGCAAGGGAAGTCTACCATCAGCTTTGTTGCCAAACAAGTTGATTGCTCTAGTCTGAGATTTGTCAAGGGAGCAGTTATGCTGAGTCAATGTGACTAAACATCTGGACACACCCGAGTTCCTATTAAATAGGCTTCTTTTCAGGCAGACGTGTAAATATCTCATCAAACAGCCAAGAATTTTTGTTCTCCTGTTCCTAATGTCACATGCCACACTTGGCCTTCTCCTTTCTTTGTTAAGGAGCTAACAACCGGCAACAAATACAGCTTCCCAGGATTGTTGGAAACTACAGCAACCTGCGCCCAGGAGAGCAGGGCTGGGACAGAGGCAAGCCCCCGCCCCCACCCAGAGACGGAAGGTAAAGCCAGGGCTTGCTGGAGTGAGAGCTGCAGGCTGACCTTTAGCCTTTACAAAATCCTCCAATGTTTGGCTGAGATGAATGCTTAAGAAGTCAACTCACATTACTGTTCGCCTTCACCACCTTTGGCCTCACCTTAACTCCCCACGTCCCAACTCACAGCAGGGGCAGGAATTCCACAAAAACAGCCCTTCTCTGCAAACATCCCGGGGCTGAATCCTTTGTTTGACTTACTTAAGCGGGTGTGGAACATACTAGTTGGGGCAGATTTGAAAATCCCGACCCTGCCACTCACTTGGTGTGTAATTCCTACAACTGAATTCAAATGACTTGTTCCCATGCTAGGTGGGAAGAGCAATTTAGTAAAAACCCAGAGACCATATATTCTAAAGCCAGATAAGCGTGTACTGTGCCCAGAAAAGTTAAAAATTTAGGATTATGCAGAGACAAAGGAGTCCCTAAGGCAGTGGTCGGCAAACTCATTCGTCAACAGAGCCAAATATCAACAGTACGACGACGGAAATTTCTTTTGAGAGCCAAATGTTTTAAACTTAAACTATATAGGTAGGTACATTGTTATTAACTTAATTAGGGTACTCCTAAGGCTTAGGAAGAGCCACACTCAAGGGGCCAAAGAGCCGCATGTGGCTCTCGAGCCAGTTTGCCGACCACGGCGGCCTAAGGGAACGTGGGGAAACCTCTCTGCCCAACCAAAAGTGGACTGAGAAGAAAACCAGCTAGAAAAGGAATGCGTGAGATGTGCTCCGCTCCCTGGGACCTGCTGACATTCTACGGCATCCATTCTGGGACACGGTGACTCACACAGAATGACCCTAAGTGAGGACCAAACCTTTGTGACCCTGGATGGGGTCTAGCTCTAGAGGACAAACAGTTTCATTAAAAACTAATTCAGTTTAGGCCCTGGCCAGGTAGCTAGGTTGGTTAGAGCATCTTCCCAATATGCCAAGGTTGCGGGTTCGATCCCCAGTCAGGGCACTAGAGAATCAACCAATGAATGCATACATAAGTGGAACAACAAATTGATGGCTCTCTTCCTCTCTCTCTAAAAATCAATGAAAAAGAAACAGAACTAATTCAGTTTAAACAAAAAGCCCTCTAGTTCTGAGGTCCAGTGTTAGGAAATCCATTCATCCACCCATACGAGCCACATTCTCCAATCACATTTTTTTTCTTTTATCCTCACCCAGATATTTTCCCATTGGTTTTTAGAGAGAGTGGAAGAGAGAGGGAAAGACAGAAATATCGACATGAGAGAAACACATCGACTGGTTGCCTCCTGCACGAGCTCAGACCAGGCCAGGGCCGGGGAGGAGCCTGCAACCCAGGTACATGCTGTTGACTGGAATCAAACCCGGGACCCTTGGGTCCGCAGGCCGATGCTCTATCCACTGAGCCAAACTGGCTAGGGCTCCACTCACATCTTTAACAGTGAAAAAGGTGGTATTTTGATCTCCCACCTGCCTTATGCTTTTCTCGGTTGCCTCTGAATTTGGGGGAAAGTCGTGTTCACTGGCTCCTTCAAACTTCCTGGAACCCCCGCTCATCCCCCTCGTCCTCCAATCCTGTGGTCAATGCTCCTATTTAACCTGTCGGCTGCACTGGGCAGTATCACTTCCTCCATCTTCAAACACTTAAGTGGGTGGCCAAGTGCCACTCTCTCTTCACGGGCCACTCATCTTCGCTGGACTGGTCTCCCTCCCTGACCTCTGCCAGGCGCAGTGCTCTCAGACACAACCCCTGGTCCTCACCAGCTGCCCTCCCTCGCCAGGTCTGCGCACCTGCCACCTTCATGCTGACAATTCCCACTTGTGTCCCCAGCCCCAGCCTCTGCCCCCTGAACTCTAGTATATCCATTTGCCTCACCGACGACACCTTCGGGTGGAAATGCTGATCTCAAAGTGAACCTGACCCGAATCCAATTCTTAATTCCGTTCCACCCCTTCAGTGTCCTCCCCGTCTTCTCCACCTCAGGAGACGCCACATGGTCTCTCTGCTCAGGCACACATCCTTGGAGTCACCCTTCTCCTTTCTCACCGGCTCCACATGCAGCCCTCAGTCAACTGTTGGCCCTGACCGGTGTGGCTCGGTGGATAGAGCATCAGCCTGCGGACTGAAGGGTCCCGGGTTCGATTCTGGTCAAGGGCATGTACCTGGGTTGCAGGCACTTCCCCAGTGGGGGGTGTGCAGGAGGCAGCTGATTGATGTGTCTCTCTCATCGATGTTTGACTCTCTATCCCTCTCCCTTCCTCTCTGTAAAAAAAAATCAATAAAATATATTTTTTTTAAAAAAGAAAAGGCATCCTGGCTCCGCCCACTTCTCCCTGCCTCTACTGCCTGCTCCTGCTCAGTCCACGCCATCCTCTTCCGTGGGACGTTGGGGTAACAATGCCCTTGTTGTCACTCTTGTCCCACTTGTCCCCCAGCCTCCTCCAGTCCCCTCCCCCCTGAGCTGTTTTCCACTCTACAGTCAGCATGGTCTTTTAAAAACATACATGCAGTCATACACTGCACGGCATTTAGGCCAATGACGGACGCAAGTGACAGTGGTCGGCCATGCAGCCTGGATGTGTAAGTGCACGCTGCGATGTTCGCACGGTGAAATCGCCTGATGTGGCATTTCTCGGACTGCATCCCGATCGTTAAGCGACCCGTGACTATAAGATCTTGGGACTCATTTTCTCAAATCCCTTCACTGGCTTCTTACTTCTCTAAAGAATCAGAGTTACCTGGGTCCTACGCCACCTGAGCCCTGGCTCCTTTCTGCTGTCAGGACTCCAGCGCTCTCTCCAAGCTGGCCTCCTGGCTGTTGGGAACCTGCAGGGAACAATGCTGCCCTAAGGGCTTAGTTTCGCTGCTTGGAAACCTCTGTGCCCAGGAATCGGCATGGCTTACCTGTTCCTTCATTCTGGAGTCAGTGTAATGTCTTCTCCTAAGAGAGGCCTCCCCTGACCACACGATCTAAAAGGACCCTCCTTCCCATCCTCCTCATCTTTCATTCAGCTTTACTTTGCTCTGTGATACTTACCACTTGCCAGTGTGTGTAGGGGGTGACCTCCCACTGGCACAGGAGGGGGCACATCTGCATCCGGGCAGCACCGGGGCAGGTGGACTCTCAGATGGGTGCTGTGCGCATCGGGGCTTTTTGCCTGAATGATGCTGCTCCTCCCTTCTTGTTTCTCCCCAAACACCCAGGGCAGTGGTCCCCCTGCTCATGCTCTGCTCACAGGAGGAACTTGTTAAACTAAGGTGACACGCTGAAATTTTCAATCCCCCACCCCTCCCAAATACCACAATCACTACAGAATCACTGGTATGTGTATAAAGAGGCTTCGCGCTGAAGGAGTGGGAAGACACATCTTCTACCTAAATCAGCCACTGCCATACCTCAGAGGGAGGTACTTTCAAAGAAACAGCACCTCACTGGCTTCCCTGGTTATATAGTGGCCGCTGTTCTGAATGCCCAGAAAGGAACACGAAGGTCAGAGCATCGTGACTTTTGTCCTAGAAAAGTAGTATCTTCGAGAGTCAAGAAAAGTCTCTGTGTAAATACCACTCAGAGCGTGAACAATAAATGCACATCGAGAGCCCTCTGGTGCACTGGGTGTACCTTTATTATGACCTCGTTCACTAATAGTTCCGTGATGCAAGGTTACCATACACAGTTAGATAATGTCTGCATTGCACATCTAAGGCTATACAGCAAAAGAACCAGAATTAGTACAAATACAAGAACTATATTTACATTCTGTATACCCAAGCTCCAAACATCAGATAATATTTACATAATAAAACATGAAAATGAAAATCAGAACTTAATAATGTACATACATTGTTGCTGATGTGCTCAACTCCTTCACTGGGGAGAGATCAGTTTGCAAAGTCCTGGTTCAAAAAGGCCACTTATGTTCATGGGTTTGTTTAATGCACAAGAATGGTGACGTGAGAATTGAAATCTCAATGGACAAACACTTTAGAGCCACAAAGTCTAAGATGGTGCCTTCCACGTGGGAAGGCTGATGGAGCCCTCAGGCGAACTGATGCCCGAACACGCAGCGTGAAAGTAACTCGAAGACACGAAACGACACACGACAGCCAGGTTCGGCGAGACCAACCTCAGCTTGGACTTCCCATCTGAGTACAGCTATTTGGCTGCGGGTTTTTAACATGAAATTTGTATCAACTCTAATTTCTTCCTTTAAATGATTTAGCGGCTTTCCCAAGATTTTATGGGGCTCGAATACGAATTTCATAAATGGCCTTTTGAACAACAAAAGCAGATAATCTCTCAGCTGATAATTGGATTCTAAGGAAACACAAATCAATGCATTCCTATCTCACGCAGCAAGGGTTTGGCCACACACTTGGCTGAGTCATCCAGGGTGGGCGGCTGCAGTCCTCCGAGTCAGAGTCCTGTTTAAAGTACATTCAGCACAGCTTCTGAGAGCAGCAGCAGGGTTAGAATTCTCTTTAAGGAGCAGGTTAACAATCACATTTTAAAAAAGGACCCAAAAGGAAAGATGCAGGAGCCCAGTCAAACAAACAACAACAAGCCCCGACACTGCCCAGGAGCACCGAGTGACAGGCAGCACCAGGAATG